TAATGAATGGACTTCCCCTCCATTTCCCTGTTCAGCGCCTCGCCTGGCCATGCGCCGACTAGCGCCGACTAGCACTCACGTGTACTTGTTGCGTCGTTATGCGGAGTGTGTGTGTAATGCTGTTCTGCAACACTACGCCGAGGGGAGTCTAGTGCCCGCCGCGCAGCTAGCTCCCTACACAGTAGACAAAACAATGCAGATCAAACAGTTGAAAACACACTACCAAACTGTTGACAATCCTAACATGTTTGCCGTGGTGTACCTAAACCGAAATTCCGTTCATTCAAGGGAATTCCCTCACTTTAAATGCATTCAGCTTTCTTCAAAGTCAAAATTTCCTTTCTAGATAACTGAAGAACTTTATGACGTGAAGTGTAAAGTAAGTTTTTCTGGGTGGGTGCAGACATTCGAATGACGTTATATGAGCCTATGTCCACCTCTATTTTCCGGTTGCCTGAGCGGGGGCATGTTTTGGTCTTCACGACGGGTAGTGACTGTCGAGCAGCCTAGGCGGCCCCTGCTAGAGGTGAGATGCACCCCTGGACCGGAGTCATATTTCATCATGAAGGTGCGGCGATAATCAAGATGGATCTCCGTGAAGCGGAGGCGTGGCGTGGCCGGTCGACCCTCACGGAGGTGGCGCTATGTCATCAGAATCTTCTTGGCTGTGGCGATCACACAAGAGGAGATCGTAACGTGATGGGAGGGCGCCGGCGGTGGCTGCTGCTTAAATTTGATCATGTTATAGTACACACGATTCGTGATCAGCCTTTTCTCGATCTAAACGGCACTTCCCACGCCTCTGTTCTCGGTCTACCACTTGGTATGCCATCCTGCTAAACAGTGCCGCTATTTGCAAGTAATTGTCAAACCTCCTGGGTTCGAGTCTACTCTGCGGATGGTACATGCGGCGCCGCCTATGGTGGGCTCAGTGAGCCCCCTGTGTCGACCGGCGGTGGGCTGCTCACAGAGGCAGATCCAGGTAAGTTAAGCCCCCCCCCCCCCGACCGTCCATCCACCGCCCGCTCCTGGCTCGGCTCGCGGACGGCATGCTTTGGCACGCCGCTTCCCTCCCTTGGCTCACGTCCTGGTGCTGGAGGCCTGATACGGGGCGGGGCGCGCCCGGGCGCTCAGTGGGCTATGTGACCCAAATGACAGCCCAGTACGTACCACGACGGCCCTGCCACCAACCGCGGGTAGCGCCAATTTACCCCTCACCCCACTCCCTACCCCTCACCTCCCACTGGCGGAGTAAAAAGTGTCACCGGTGCACCGAGGAGCCTTCTGTTTGACGTGTAAATTTCAATAATTTCCACTCCTCGTTTCAGCCCAATTCTCAGTCATGCTGTGTGTGAGTGAGAGGGGGGGGGGGGGCACGAGACACCAGAGACGAGGCGGCCGGCTCCGCTTCTCGGACCGATTAGCGCAGGTGTGCGAGTTAAAAGGCCAACTCCGACGCGGAACGCACGGCACGCGGACCTAGACACAGACTTATGCTCACCTTTTCGGCGTTAAGTCATGTGCCAGTGCCAGCGCGCACACGCGTGTCTGTGTAAGGAACCCAGGAAAGAACAGATTTTTTAGACAGTCCCCAAGACTGTCTACCAAAAGGCAACGTGCCTCTCTCCTCCTTGCTCTTTTTGCGCACAGTTTTTGATGTCAATGTTCACATATGAGATCGACAGTGTGGCGCAATATAATGCATTCTGTAAAGCTGAAATGCAGAAGAATGCGGGGAACAAGGAAACGGAAGTCACCATGCTACAACATAGCGATTTCCGTTTTGTTGTTCCCTTCATTCTTCTCCTTTTTAGCTTCTCGGACTTTACTTTTTCCCTCGTAAAGCTCGCCCCATCCCCATCGTTTAGTTTCTCGCCAGCATTCTTTATCCATGATAACCAACCATCTCCCTTCATGCGGACGTATACGCGCGCGATCGACTAAATAGATGGTTCCGGCAGTGTCCGTTTAAAGAAGAATTAATGAAATCACCACCGGAAACAGTTCTGAAATAATGGCTTAAATCAGTGAGAACTAAAATTGACAGATACTAGAGATTTAATCAAGGTCATTCACGTCGAACTGTACTGAGAAATGTCAAAAGTAGGCGTATTTTAGGTACTGGTTCCGGTCCCGGCTTCTTCATTTCTTCTCAAAAAGCGCACTGTCGGAACGGTCTATAGGGGTATCTCTTTAAGAGAGGCGGATCGGTGGATCGGTCGATCGATCGACCGATCGGCGGTTTAAATTGCCGTAAAACGGCCGAATCTTCATAAATTAGGGTAAAACCCTGCGTCTAGGCTCCATCCTCTCTCTCTCCGCCCCCTCACGGTCGACCCTTACTACGCCCCTGCGAAGTACTGGGACTTATTTTTATTTTCACAAACAAATTAGACATCAAACAGAAGCACTTAAATAAAATTGTAATTCTTTCCAGTTCTCTCTCATTAATTTAGCTGTGTCTTAGATCGACTGGTAAAGTTTTCTGAAATGTGAAATCAGTGTAGTGAATAGAATAAAAAGAAAATATAGGCCAACGAGAAATATTTATGCGTGATCCAACCTACCATACGAAAGCTTGAAATGAACGAGTATACTTTCTATGCAGCAAATAATGCATTCCGTTCGGTACAGACTCACACAGCTGTCTACTTGTTCTTTTTGTCCTTCCCAGTCGGAAAATAGACGTCAATAGACGCTCGTAGACGTGTCTAAAAAATATCTAAGAACGTCTATGATGTTTTTTTGGGCGAATTAAGGTCAGTCTTGAACCTCTATAATCTCTGCAAATGTCTATTGAAATAGATATCTATAAGTAGATCACGTTAGATATCTACAACGTCTAATATTGGTAAATAT